CCACCAGAGACCATCGCAGATGGTACACGTCTCAGAAGAACACGCTTTGAAGACCTCCGAATATTTTGTCAAATGGGCAAAAGCATTCATCAACCCTTTTAACATCTCCAACCGCAGGCCCCCCCTGCACCGAGAGGGGTGTTCTTTGTGGACTTACCCAAAGAACAGGGAGTCAGGAGCATCACAGATTTGGCTGGGGGGATGGTTTCGGGATGAGCAGTTGTCTGGGGCACCATCTGATGGCCCAAGGACTTGGCAGTAGCCTACGTCAGGGCTTCCCAAGCTTTTCCACAGCGGGAGCCACCTCCACCACCTCCCTCAGCCCTGGGGCTGCTGCCTGCTGGAGCTGCCAGCTTACGCAGGGATGGGCAGCCAGCCTTGACCCATCTCCTCGGGCGGGAACTGCAGCCCAAAACCACATGAGAAGGGGACTCGCCCTTCAGGAAGGCTGCAGGTGCAAGCAATGGGGCAGGGCGAGCAGCCCTGCCTGGGGGCCTTCCCCGGGCCGGGGCAGACCTTCACCCCGGCACAGCTGGGCGGCCAGGCAGGGGGAGCACAGAGCCGCCGGGGGAAGGGCTCTGGAAAGCCATCCCTCCCGAGCAGCTCGAGGAAATTCATATTTCATGTTCTGCTCCTTCTCTGCCCACGGAGTTCTTTCTCGTGGTGCTGCGTAGGTGTATGTGAGGGATTTATCCTTTCCCCACTGAATCACTGCAGCACAACATCTTTTCAGCCCTTCTGTACAGCAGAAAAGAGCCTCATGGCATTTCTCCTCATTTTCCTGCTTAAGGAGACAGCCCGCAAGCTCCACAGCGTGACCCAGCTGCACCCCAGCTCAAGGCTGGGAAGCAGCACGACCCCTCCCCGCCTCAGGGGAGGCATGCCTGGGGGAGCAGGCAACCTCCCCTCCTGCCAGCCGGCACCCCGAAACCACAGCCCAGCCCGCCTGAGGCCAGCATGAAGGTGCTAGGGATGCTGTTGCTTTTTCAGCTGGAAAATCGCTGCACCCTCAAAGGAAGGAGCAGAGCGGGGTGCCCTGAGCACGGTGCACTCTCCCCACCACTTCAGGAGCCCAGATCCAAGCCAAAGCGTTACCAAATCCCAGTTACTGCAGTAACGAGAGCTTGTGCTTTAACTAGGGGCCGCTGGAAAACATTTTATCACCATGTCTGAACCCGGTGTTTGTGTACAAGTTTTCTGTATTTTCACAAGAAAATGTGGAAGAAATGAGTTCTGCAGCTGCTGTCATGGGCAAAGCCATCGCCATGAGTAAAGGCATGGCCATGAGCAAATGCTTCCCCTGCTGACCCTCAGATAAATTGCTTATTTAGAAAAAGACACAGGAACTTCAGGCAGGTAGCCAGCAATACAAATTTAAAGGACAACAAGTTTTTTTGGCTGCATGAGAAACCGGCACCTCCCGAAATTTCAAATTAACATTAATGACCCTTCTGTAATAGTTGTTTAATCCAACAGTGCTTTCCAAATGAGGACCTCGCAGCGTTAAGCTTCACAGCAGCTTGACAAGATGCCGAACGCGGTGGGCCTGACACGAGCCTGCAGGCCCCAGTAGGACCACGCCTGTCCAGCACCACTTTGTTTTTATTGAACATCAGTCAGCTACTGCTTGGCCCTGATCAAGTTAAAAAAACAAACAAACAACGTAGCTAAAGGTTTTCTGGTTATACTTGCGTGCAGTCTGGAAGATCAATAACTAACTTGTGGCATACTGTGTCCCATCCTTGCACCTTCAAGCCAACAGTGCCTAGCTCCTTCCTTCCTCCTCCCATTTCCTCTCCCAGAATAGGACAAGATCCCACTGGAAGTGCAGGCAAAAACCAGCAAACATTAAGCCAGCAGTTCCGATTTCCCACATTTAATCTCCTGCGGGCTGGGAGAAGGCAGGGGGATCGCACCCTACTGCTTTGATCTCCCCTCTGCTTTGAACCCCACCTGACCTCTACGCCATCTCAGCAACCTGGATGGTTTTGGTGGGGTTCCCCCAGCTCGTCTTTGATATTTTTGCTCCCTGGTCTGTTTCTCTTCCCTTTTTATACCCCATCTCCCATTCAGTTTCTGTCCTCCAAGGACACTTTAGCACTTGACTATCGAGATGTGGGCCGCTGTTCAGAAAGCGAGTTGCAACACGGTGGATCACCAAGACAACCGTGGAGGGCAGCCATAGGGCTGGGCAGCGATGCTTTGCCTCCCGAATCCCCAAAGACCACTTCGAGCTGCCTAGCATCACCTCCTAGCAGATCTGCTTTGTTTGCATTCTTCTGCAAACATAAGCACACACAGAAGCAAGAGGGCAGGAGGGGGCGAAGGCGTGAAATAAGACTGCCATGCTGCAGACCCTGCCTGGGTTTTAGTTCCTCCCCTTCTGCCTCGGCCCACCGAAGCCCCGCAGGCTCTGCAGGTAACAAGGCCACCCATGAACGAGGATTCAACCACAAGAGCAGGAAAAGGCTTCCTCCAGCGAGAGGTACAGTTCAAGCTACTCCCTCCTCCCCTATCCCCAGAAAATTAACATCTCCTTTTAGAAAACACAATAAAAAAGAAGGAAAAACCCTGGGGAAACTAAAGAGTTCTCACGGTGAATTTTATTTTGTAAGCAACAATATAAACATGTGAGTAAGAACAGGCATCATTTGCAGGGCTGGCCTTTGATCCAGAGTACCCTGAATCTAGCAACCCTTCAAGAGCAGATGAGGGCAAGCCTTCACCTGCGACTCCAGAGGCCACCAAGACCTTTGTCATGGAAAGACCAACGCTTGAATATTTGCTGTTACCAAGTGTATGTGCAATCTCGGAACGTACCTCCCACCTCCCCCCCAGGTTAAAAAAGAAAAAAAAAAAATCATACAGCTGCAAACCAGTAAAAAAAATTGCTTCCAGCTTATTGAGACTGAAATGGCCTGTTGGACTATAAACTGAAATATCATTCTAGAGATAACCAACTGGTCGTGACACAAAGTACTGTATTTACAACTCAAAAATATAACTGTTATATACTTTAATTTATAGCAAATTTAATACATTAGTGTTTACAAAATAAATTCTGGACTCAACTGAAACAGCGTGCTGCTTAGCAAGTTTTTTTTCCTTCCTCTCACTTTAACCGAAGAGACCAGCAAGCTTAAGAGCTTCTTCTGTGATCCACACACAACTTTTGATCATGCCAGATGTTGAAAAACCAGCGTATTTCCTGCATCTCTAAAGTCTTGTTGCTTGGCACCTTCTACCACTCAAGCTGTACAGTTCCAACCTTAAGCTGTCCTTTAACAAGTTCCATACGCATCTCATGAAAGCTACTCAGATACTAACCAGGGCACTGGCTAACATTACAAACCAAAGAAATATCTTATCCGTAGCACTAGCTCACACAACAGGAAAGAGGAAATATAACTACACATTCAATCTCTTATTTCTAACAGCAAAGCTGCGAACTCCATTGTTTAAAAGTAAGATACTTCAGTAAGTGAAACAGTACCATACAGTTCAAGAAACATTTTTTTTTAAAAAAACAAACATTTTAATAGTATAAAAAGTTGTTTACTGGTGTTTCTACTATAAAGCTTTGTTCCACAAATCAAAAGTGATAAAATAATTAGATATGTTTACAGTGATAAGAGACTGCAGTGTAGACATTTCAGCTCACATTTTGCTGACCGTTTCAGTACAACGTAGACTGTGACTGAATCGTTAATACACATCTATGACACAGAGCAAACTGCAGACATGAAGTGCACACCTGAACGTGGAAGTTTACCTACTGGCATGGTAACTGACTTTCTTCAGCCCTCCCTTTCCCCTCCACAACACCTTGTAGGCAAAAAACTGTATTCAGAAACTGAGGCATATAACTATTTTGACTGCAGGAAAGCAACTCTTATTGAGGGAGCTGCGCAGAGGAAAAACGGATGCACACAAACACACCGTGGTAAATTCCAAAGTTATATGCCGACTATTTCTCCTTAGATAAAATGACATCTGCAAAAGTGAAAATGTACAAAAAATAAAAACTGTCAAATAAATAAAGAATACAGATGTTAATTCATCACATATATAAAGAAACGTATTGGCATACTGTATGCAGTATACGGTATATTCATAGAATCATGTGGGCTGGACAGCACTTAATAGGGAGTCACATGCTAAAGACGTGACTCCTCGTCTCTCTCCTCCAAAAGATCTTATGGTTTCTGGATATCAAGTGCAATCTTTTACACCGATGCATAAATCCTGCATCATATTTCATCTTTGCCACACCTAGGATGCTTTTTTTTTTTTTTTTTTTTTTTTAAGATCCACAGAGAAGTCCAAGAAGTTATAATGGTCTGAATCACAATTTTCGCAGCCCTGTCCATGCTACTTGGTCTCCTGGGTTTCCTACCAAATGAGACTTCAGTAATTGTACAGTATATCAAACCAGAGTTTTTCCCAACGAAATGGGAGCCAATCCTATGGACTCTTCCATACTTTGACTGGCATTTTCTACACTCCTGAACTGTAGGTAGGTATTATGCTAGAAGTGTGTTACACAAAGGCTGCTGAAACCATTGAAAGTGATGTAACGATAGTTAAGTGTCAAGTACGTCCGCTATAATACAGAATCAGGGTCTAGGTCTATCAAATGCTATATCCACATAACATTTTAAACCATGAAATATTTTATGCATTTTCCTTTTTTCTACAAATATTGTTGCAAACTTGCTGTTAATTGTGTCACGAGGTTCGCATTCCTAATTCTCCAAGGATTTTTAATTCAAATGTTTAACAACCATATCTACGCTAGGTACACTTAAAGTAGACATTGAAATTTCAAGTAAAATGAACTGTAGCCACATCTACTGGACTCAATACATGTCCCGACATCTAGATTTACTTTGATAAGTTATACAAATACATAATACATTCTTAAATAATGAAGACCCACAATATTAATTTGTGAATCTTCCCACGTTATAAAACCACTTTTACAGGAATGTTTATCCACCTGTATTACTGTTTTAGTTTGCAGTGTCTCTTGCTTTCCTGTTTCCACAGATTACTGTACCAGTTCTTAGGCTTTGGCTATTGAAATCTCTTATTTGAATGAGGCAACACTGGTTATTAAGGCTGGTTTTATTTTCTCTTGTGAAGTTTCATTCTTTACTATGACACCGTTTTCCAGAGCAGAATGACTATCTTGTGTCTTCAGGTTCTGTTTTTATGACCTTCCTTTCTATGTTGTTAAAAGCCGAATGAGGAAAATCCTTTAAAATACCAAGGCCTTCTGCATTAAGAAAAAAAAAAAGATAGATGTTAAAAACACTGCTTGGAAACAAATATATTCTGTTCTTAATTCAAGAAAAAGGTCCATGAACCATATGGATACTAACAGTTGAAGCAATGAATTCTGCCTCCTCCTACTGGGCTTTAACCCAGCTGGGTTAGAACCACCTCAGTTACATTGCAGTGATGACAGAGCAATCACCACATATTTACTTCAAGTTCTCTCCGGGAGCAGGGCTTAGTGGAGGTGCACTCTTCACTTGCATTTTGAAAAGGAACTGGTAAAAATCCCCAACTAGAAATTTCATTAAGTGAACTATCACTGGGATTGGGACAAACAGCAAAAAAGGTGAGCTAGGATTGCAACATACCAAAGTGGAAGATGCAAGATTCTGCCCAGTCTTCAAAACAACTACTTTTGCATTTTGTCTTTCAAATAACCTCTTGCCCACTGCATCTTCCAAACTCAGGTGGGATTTATTATTACTCGTAAAGTTGCAAGAGTCTCAAGAATTCCTGGCTTTATCTCAGTGCACCGAGTATTAAACTGAAATCACCCATATAGTTTTCACAAAGGATTC